GGGAGAGGACCCCCGCTCAAGCCCGGCCTCTCGGCTCTGTGACTCCGGGGAGAGGACCCCCGCTCAAGCCCGGCCTTTCGGCTCTGTGATTCTGGGGAGAGGACCCCATTAAGCCCGGCCTCTCGGCTCTGTGATTCTGGGGAGAGGACCCCACTAAGCCCGGCCTCTCAGCTCTGTGATTCTGGGGAGAGGACTCCCGCTCAAGCCCGGCCTCGGCGACACCCAGTCTGCACCTCAGGCATGAAAATGACGTCGAGCTCAGACAGCCATGGAACTACCGGGCCCGGTCTGCCCTGGGCCTGCAGATCTCCAGGAGCCTTCGGGCAAGTGCCTGAGGAAGAACTCCACATAAGTCTCTGCCTGTGTCCTGTTTTTAAGAAGGCTGGCTGGATTTGGGGGCCTAAGCCTTAAAACAGAATCCCCTTCCTCTCAAACCCATTCGGAAAAGTGGGTCTGCAAGACCTTTGAGACAGTCAGCAGGGGGGTCGTGGGAATTCCTGGGAGAGCTCTGGCTGCGTGAACCCTAAGAATTGCAGAGCTTCTGTAGGGCATTTGCCTCCTGCCTCCAGCCCTCAGCCTGGAGCTCCCAGTCTCAGCAGCCGATAAGCAGGCCAGCCCTGCTCTGTGAAATCTTAGAGAAGATCAGTCCCAGGGGTGGGAGTTCCCAGCAAGGCCAAGCCTCTGATCCCGGCTGCCCTGCGGCATAAGAGGGATCGCGTTGCTCGTGACTTGATTGCCCACAGTGGGTTTTAGTCGCTCCCTCCTCCCACAGCCACACAGTTCGCAGATACGGCATGTGTGGACATGCGGTATGTGATGCACTCAGGCACGCATGCTTGCCAGCTGTCCTCTGCCACCTCGCTCTGTCTGTGTCCTTATGCTCCATGTCATTGATTGCTTTGGGTGTGGGGGGACAGGAGGTTACCTGATGGAATAACTCTCTCTTCACCAATTCCTTGTTGTAGACTATTGGGGAGAGTCTTATTACAGTGACCTCATCGACTTGCATCTGGGTGGTATGTATGGCAGCATCTGTGCTGACACTAACCCCGCTGACACCCTTTCTCCACCACACTCCCCAGTCCCTGCTCACAGAGACAAGGACAAGTCAACCCCATAACTAAATGGTGAAAGCACAGACCCTTTTCCAGCTGAAATCAGAGCAGCGTGCTGATCTCCCCACTGCCCCCTCGTGCTCCAGAGGAAGATCTGACCTAGCTTTTCTGCCTGGGGCCATTTTAATTTTTATAATAAAACTTTGCCCGCCCACTCCACCAGCCTTGCCTCTGCGTCCTGGTCCCCTAAATACACATGCTGCAACACAACTTTGACTGCTCATAGGAATCATGTCTGCTAGGGAGCTCACTGCCTGCCACACTTAAGCAAAGAGGCAAAGACGCCAAGATCTCAGCCCCCACCATTTCCATTAGGGTGTGCTCTCAATGTCTCCCAGAAGCGCTGAGTGCAAGGGAAAGGCTTCTCTATTGTGATTTCTGCCCAGATTCACCAAACCCAAAGCCAGGCTGACAGGTGCCGGTAACAATGTCCCTCCTCCTTGCTCTGTCCCAGAGCTCACTTTTTACTTCTTTTCAATGAAGACAGGAAAAGCCCAAGGCTACAGTTCTCAAAGTGTGGTCCCTGGGCCAGCAGCAGCATCACCTAGGAGCCTGTTAGAGAGGCACAGGCCCAGACCCTGCCCCAGACCTACAGAATCAGAAACTGGGGTGAGACCTGGTTATCTGCTGTAACAGACTTTCCAGCAGGCTCCAGTGCCCTCTAGAGCGGGAGAAACACTCGCTTAGAGGTTGCAGTGTGTTTGGCGTCTTGCGGTTTGTATTAGTTCAGAGGAATGGCTGACACCTGAGTCTCACGCCTAAGCTTTGGGCAGCTTTTCTCCTGGGCCGCTGCCATTGTGGCAAGGGGAATGCTGGGAACTCTAGCTCCTCCTCCCTGTTCCTGTGTCCTTTGGTCTGGTAGTCTGCCCACTTCATCTCCCCATGGAGTCTCCATGCCTAGAGGTGGTCTTCAAACAGCAGAGTGGCAAAGATAATTCTCTCATGTTTTACCCTGACCCCGTTCTTTTAAGAGTGTCACTTCCTGGTCCATTCATTTAAATACCAATGTCATAGTTCTGTGATTCCACCTGTCAGGGCCACATCCAAGGCAGGGCTCTCGCCTCCCTGAGAAGAGGGACTGTTGCTATCTATGTTTTCCCATGCCCCCATGGACCCACCCCTTGGAGACTCACTCGGTGTCCCAGGGCTTCTGATGTCTTCAGGGACCACCACACTCATGGCCATGGGTGCTGCAGAAGGGCCAGTGCTTACAGTCCAATTAACAGACCCTGTTCCCATCTAATGCCTCCTGTCTCGTGCTAACACCACCTCGGTCGTGTTCCATGTCCATGCTAAGCAAATCTCAGTATATGAAAAAATTCACACCTGTTATCCCAGCAATTTGGGAGGCCAAGGCAGGTGTACCATTTGAGCCCAGGAGTTTGAAACTAGTCTGGGCAACATGGTGAAATTCCGTCTCTATAAAGAGATTTTTTAAATTAGCTGGGCGTGGTGTCACGTGTCTGGTAGTTCCAGCTGCTAGGGAGGCCAAAGTGGGAGGACCACCTGTGCCCAGGAGTTTGAGGCTGCAGTGAGCTGTGGTTGTGCCACTACACTCCAGTCTGGGCAGCAGAGCCAGCCCCTGTCTCTTACATTCAGAGTCTCCTGGAGGAGTCTGTCAGCACATTTCCTGAGGATTGCATCCACCCTTCCCTCTCAGTTCAAGCATCTCCTGCTTTCTTTGCCCTCCTTGCTTGAGTGAGAAGAGGCAGTGAGCTGCTTTCTTCTGTGGGTGCCCGGACTCCAGCTGCTAGCTTTTTGGAATTCTGGAAGTTTCAGGGGGAAATGAAATAGAAAAAGGAAACTCAGTGTGCCCTGTGAGTTACACAGTGCCCCACCACTGCCACTCGTAACCCTTTGAATGTGGGCTCATCAACTCATCACTTCCCCTTTCCCAGCCCACCGTGGCTTCTGCCTAAATTCAAGACTTTTCGGGTTCTGCTCACCACATGGTGGCTGCTGCTGCCCTAATAAGGAAGCCCGAAGGGGACATCCCCTCTGCAGGGAGTCTCTTGTGGTCCTGGTCCCACCATGCCCCGCAGGGATGACAGCAATGCCGGAATTCACTTCCTCTTCTGTTTCTGCCACTGTTTCATTCTTGGAGCACTTGGTAATGTTCATTAATTGGAGGGAGAATCGCCCTATTGAGACCTGGAGCCTGAAATGTAAAACCTGGTTGCTCGTCTGCACTTGCATCCCAACAGGCCACCCAAAGCCCTATTTCTGTACCACAGCACCTGGCTCATTTCTCCCGTCAGCAGAGCACAGCTCCAAGCAGCCCTCGGAGCGTTGGGAATGCCACCTTCTGCCCTGTGCCCTGTGCTCTGCCTGTCACACTGCAGCCTCTTTCAGTGGCCCTCAGTGAACTACCTCAAGGCTCTGAAAGTCTGTTTTCAGCGACAGAGTATAAAGAATGAAATTTCCCTTCCTCACGTGGCTGGACCTTGTGATTTCCGAAGAAATCATCAAAGAGACTCAAAATAGCCCTTGGGCCAGAGAGGAAGGGTCCCCAGGTGGCCACTCCCCTTCCCTCCTCTTCCCTGGGACCCCAAATGGGCCCAGCCCAGCCTACTTTATTGCACTGTAACAGACAGATGACTGGGAATCTAGAAGAAAACCACATTTCTTCTAAAATTGATTGAAAATACACATTATTTCTAGTTTTGGGGGACCTCATCTCTTGATTTTTATGTCTCAAAGGGAAATTGAACAGGGAAGGTTTAGAAATGTAACATGAACCGGAGGGTGGCTTCACTGTGGTGAGATGGGAGCGCAGGATGCCAGCCCCTTGCCTGAGCTACTGTCTTCCTGCTCTTTCTGCTTCTCTGGGTTTTCTGTTGGTAGATTCTTGGTTTGCCTGCTTAGTCCGCCATCAGCCCGGCTCTGCTTTGCTTAGGAACTTTGGAACCTGTGAGGTTTCGCAACGTGTGCGTGCGTGTGTGCGTGTGTGTGTGTGTTGGATTGTAATTCTTACATGCATTTGTTTGGGGGGGGGGTGTGTGTGTGTGTGTGTATTGGATTGTAATTCTTACATGCATTTGGGGGGTGTGTGTGTATGTGTGTGTGTGTGTATTCGATTGTAATTCTTACATGCATTTGGTTGTGTGTGTGTGTGTGTATGTATTGTTTTGTAATTACATGCATTTGGGGGGGTGTGTGTGTACTGGATTGTAATTCTTACATGCATTTGTGTGTGTGTGTGTGTGTGTGCGTATTGGATTGTAATTCTTACATGTACTGTGTGTGTGTGTGTGCGTATTGGATTGTAATTCTTACATGTACTCTGTGTGTGTGTGTGTGCGTGTGTATTGGACTGTAATTCTTACATGCACTGTGTGTGTGTGTGTGTGTGTGTGTGTGTGTGTGTGTGTTGGATTGTAATTCTTACAAGCATTTGTTTGGTTTTTTGCCTTACATTTTCCTCCCAACCTGGAGCTTTATCTCTGCACTAAGTCTGTGTAGCGCCAGGCGTCTCCCTGCCCCACCACATGGATGCTACACTGGGCCTCCTGGGCCAGCCTCATCCTGTCATGCCACCTGCTTACATATCTGCAGTATTGCACCCAGCCAGCTGGGGCCCCTGTCAGGGCCACGGTGTTTGTCATTGCCCAAAGTTTCAGACTGGACCTCAGCCTTACAGTGCGAAGCGTGCCCCATGCCAGGAGCTTGGCATTGGTGGTACCCACCAAATGGGATTCCTGGGTTGGGGACTCAGACTAGCCAAGTGCCTTCTTAGCAAAACATTTGGTCAGTCTTCCCTCACACTTACCAGGCTGCATAACCTGAGCAAGGCAGAGCAGAAAATCTGTGGCGGCCCTATTCCATAATTTGAGCCGCCGGGGAATTCCAGCCCCGGCACTTTGCTCTCTGAAAGTTTTTGAGACGGGGTCTGGCTCTGTCACCCAGGTGGAGCGCATCATGGCTCGCTGCGACCACCGCCTCCCAGATTCAAGCGATTCTCCTGCCTCAGCCTCCTGAGTAGCCAGGACTATAGGATGCGCCACCACCCCCAGCTAATTCTGTGTTTTTAGTAGAGAAGGGGTTTCACCAAGTTGCCCAGCCTGGCCTTGAACTCCTGACCTCAAGTTATCTACCCATCTCTGCATCGCAAAGTGCTGTATTACAGTTGTGTGCCAGCACTCCTAGCTGCTTTCTGCAAGTTGAAGCTGATCAGCGGGGCATAGCCATGACAGGCAGTGCCCCTGGTGTTTCCTAGGAAAAGGTGACAAAAGCTCTGGTGTCTGTGACAGGAGTTAGATAAAAGCCATTGCTCCGTCACTGTCTTTGTATTATTTATAATATTTATGTTATTTCTATTTGTACTCTATTTACCGGTAAATACAATGGCATTACTGCCAAAACAAGTGTGAGAAATGAGAGTTCACCCGTGAGCTAAGGGCTGCACAGGGCTGCCCAGAGAGGCAGGAAAGTGGAGCCTCAAAATGTGCCTGAGAAATAAGCGAGCCTCTTTCCTGTCCCCCGCCCCTTGGAGTGTGATCCTCAGAGGCCAAAAGGAAGTCAAAACCAAAAGTGATCTCTCTCTATGCAGGATGTTCCAGAAGTGTGGCTGAAAGGGGAAGGAGCTGACTCTGTGGCTGTGCAGAGCTCTGCATGAAACACGCAGCGTGTCAGAAGGGAGGGTGTGGGGCCGCCCCGGACTCTTGAAAGGCGGTGTTCTGAGGCGCTTGCACGCTGATGATCTGGAATTCTGTATTTTCCCATGGAAGTGCAGTTGTAAATGGTGGCTCAGCTCACAGAAGCCCGTTTCCTCATTACACCTCTGTGTATGGTACTAGCCTGGTGACTCTCCAGGACCTAACCTGTGTTCCCTGGGGAAATGCAGCATTCCAGGCTGGGACCTCTGGGCCCAAAATCTCCGTAATGGGTCCTCTTTTGGTCTGCTGGGCACTGCTGTAGGGACCTCCCCAGCTCTGAGCCTCGGTGATAGCACCTTTGTCCAACCAGGGGGAGCTGAGAGCCTGTCTAGTGGGTCAAGACAGATACTGAGATGAGGCAGATCCCCAGGGCCAGTAGTTCACTTGGAGAACGGCCCACCACCTTGCCTGCCGCTGTGGCTGTGCTTGCCTCTGCTGCCAGACAGAAGTTCTTTCCTGCCTTAGCTGCCACATGGTTAGCATTGGTGGCTGGTGCATTCGGGGTGCGCGGTAAGCGTTTCTGGTATAAATTATCAGTCTTCCGCATTGTCCTTACCACAAGCCATGATTCATGTACATTTCTGTTTGGGATGTAAGCACCAATGTAGAAGCCAGTGGGTTAAACGTAGCCAGGCAGAATTGAATGATTGAGTTGGAAATGCAGAGCACGACGCCAGCACCCACCACCACACAGGTCGTTGCTGGTGGTCGTCAGGCTGTGAACAGAGTTGGGCCTTTGTCTCTTGGCCCCTCTGCGCTTTGTTATTTATTTGTTTATTTTGTAGAGGTACGGTCTTACTCACCCAGGCTGGAGTGCAGTGGTGCGATCATGGCTCTCTGCAGCCTTGACCTCCTGAGTTCAAGCAGTCCTCCCACCCTAGCCTCCGGAGTAGCTGGGATTGTACTCAAGCTACCACACCCAGCTAATTGTTGTAGAGACAAGGTCTCACTACATTGCCTAGGCTGGGCTCCAGACGTTCTCTCACTCTGGCCTCCCGAAGCGCTGGGATCACAGGCATGAGCCCCCGCACCTCCGAGCTTTCTGATCATATCCTCAGTAATCCTCGTGAGCAAGGCACTCGAGCCTCTGCACCCTGGTCTCAGGACCAGGGCTGCTGGGATTTTGAGTTCCGGAAGGACGGAAGTTAGCCCTGCCTGCCTTTCAGACGGGCATCTAGGCCCAGCGTGCTGGCTTGTCTGCTTGCTTGTGTTTCTAGCCGCCTGGGTGTCATCTTGATGCAGTGTGCTAAGGTGAAGAGGCTTGGACTTGACCTTTGTGAGGAAGTGGGGAGAAGGTGGGAATATAGGACATGTACAGAGGAGGGGACCTGCCCTACGACTGGCTGCTCTTTCTCCCACCCTGTCAGCCGTTCTACCCCAGGCTGGGTCCTGAGAGGCAGGGCCTGGAGTGAGGTGTTCAGGTGTGCCAAGGGCCAGGTGGTAGTGTGAAGGGCACCCCGACTTAGGAAGGCGAGGCATGGATTCTGGTCCTGCCTTCACTGTCTCCCCAGGCACAGACAAAACAGACTCTGCTTACCCTCTCGGGGCCTCTTCAGAAGATGGGGCAGGAAGGAACATCGGGCCTCCCTTCCAGGTGTGACATTCTGATCAGGGTCTGTGGGACTGCCCTTTGAGCTGCCTGAGATGCTGCCATTTGTCAGATTTGCCTAGAGCCTGTGCTGGCCTTACAGAGGACACGCTCTGAGTTGAGAGTGGGAAGGAAGATCTGGCTTCTTTTCCAGGCTCTGCCACACTTCACCCCTTTGCACCTCAGAACCCTCATTTGAAGACGGTGACTCAAATGCCCATCCTGGCAGCCACACCTGGCCGGGGTGAGGACCGCATGGGTGGTGCTTGTGAGGGCACCTTAAAGCCAGAGGGTGTCTCACACTTTGCTTTGGACAGGCCTTACTCCCTGGTGGGGATCTGCTGCTGTTTGAAATTCGGTGACAGGCACTGCCTGCCCACCAGGGGTCAAGCGAGTGGCACTAACAAGCCACCCCGAGTCACACGTCCAAAGGAAGTGCAGCTTCAGAGGGAAAGATGGAGCGGTGTGCCCGCGAGTGTTGGGGACAGCAGCAGGGTGCTCCAGGGAGGGGCGTGCGGGCCTTCCAGACGCCCCAGCCAGGACACACTCGCCGCTCGGGAGCTCAGCAGGGGTGGCCGGCGCCTGGGGTACAGGAGTGCTTTGAGAAGTGGTAAGCTATAGCATCTGTTAGCAACAGATGGAAGCCCATTTCCCTGATGTTAAGAAAAACCAGAAAACTTCCATTTGCTGTAAGCTTGACAGCATCTTTGTTCTTAGAACCAGTGAACCAAATCTGCTGTTTCTCACATCTCCCTAAAAGGCAAAGAATTTACTATAAAACCAGACCTGGCCCCTAGCATGCTCAGGCCAGGTTGTAGTCGGGTGGAACTCCCCTTGTTTGATCGGTCTTTCCCTTCCACATCTTATTTTTAAAATTGTATTGATGGGGCGTTTTTTCTTATTACACAAGTAGCACTGCTCGCTGTGGAAGCGGCAGAGTGTAAGGAAGTCCGGAGGTGATGACCCCGCGGCGCGGCCCACCCGCGCTCACACGCTCCTGCCTCTTGCTAGGAGAAGCCTTTTTGCTTCCTTTAAATGCTTGCCTTACCTGATGCCCCCTTTCTCTAATTTCATCTCCTAATTTCTGTTCTCGGCATTCTGTTATATTGTCCTCTGTATTGGGAAGGGCGTGTGAGGACGTGGCCTCCATAAAAAGCTCTGAAAACTGTGTTTTGTGCTGTCCAGAAAGCAGAAACACGTGTTGTGCTGTACACCCGTGCAGGCGCCTGCCTCTTCCTTTTGGCTGTGTTTTGGTTGTGTATCACAGGGGCGCTGTTCCGCTCCACAACGTGGCCTCGTCGCCTGTGACACCAGTCCCAGGAGGTGGCTGGGAGCGTTCACTGAGGCATTTGATGGGAGTCATCCAGCGGTCTAAGCCTCCACACAGACTCTACACTTTGAAGCTGAGGGTGACTGTAGATGGGCTGGCTGCGAGGCAGAGGGTGTTGTTGAGGAAAGAAACCCTCCTCATGTGCCCACGCGGTCGGCTGGCCATGCGTGTGTGTTTAGCACACTGGGTATAATCAGCACTGGACGTGCATGCACACTGTCCCTGGCTTTGGCTTTGAAGTTGTACCCATTGCAGATTCAGTGTGCCCGAAGCACTGTGCACACACTGGAAGGACTCAGACGGAACACCTGCCTTCGTGCAGCTGCACCACTGAGTGGCCTCTGAGCCAGCGTTTGTCTTGTTGACCTTCCGTTGAGTCAAACAAGGTCATTTCCTCAACCCTGTTCTCTCTGTAAACCACACACTGCCCTCCCCCCGGGCTGAGGCCCGGTGTCTTCCTGGGCTGTGTCGTCCCTGTGTGTGCTCTGTGGTTCTGTGATGGTCCCTTGCCAGCTCCTCTCCCTCGTCCTTGAGTAGCCATCAGACCCCGGATGTAGAGATGTCTCTGCACACTGTCACCCGGTGCCCCGCCAGCCTCCCAGCATCGCTCCTGTAAGTTTTGGCGTGTCCTGTCCGCTCACCCCTTTGGTCTCACAGTCTAGAGCGTGATAGCCCGCAGTCGTGGCATGGGGTTCCTGCACAGCCATGGAAGGGCCAGAAGGAAAGGGGGCGGTTGGCTCTCCCTGTGCCTGGGGGAGAGAAGGGACAGTGACACGGACAGGTGGAAGTCACCTCTGTGTGTGTACATTTCCCCAAAATTGTCCTGGCTCAGCATTCGAAGCAGCGCAGATGCAGGAGTCCCAAAAGCCCACTGCACGATTGGGTGCTGTCCCCACAGACTCAGAGGCCCCTCCTTGCCCTACGCTTGTCAGCGCCAGCTTTGCCTCAAGCACATGCCTGTGGTGACATCTTAGAGGATTCCACGTGGGTCTGGGAGGTGACCCCAGGTTGTCACCTGCAAGCCTGGAAGCCATGTTGGCCACTTATTCAATACAGTCTGTCCCAGAGCCATGCAGACCTGTCCAGGGGCTTTGAGGAGGGGCCTAAGGCCACTGTCTGACAACCCGGATGCCACTGCCCTCTCAGAAAGGAGTTGAGACAGGAGAGGGCCTCATGGCCCTCGCCATCATGTAGGGCACACGTCCCTCTTGGAGGAATCCACGCTGCTGCTCTGAGCCCCTCGCCCCTTCTGTGACGCTGCCCAGAGCTGGGTCTGCTCTTGTTCAGTTCCGTGCTGAAAAAAGGACTTAATTCATTTGTAGACTTTGTTTCCCTTGCTTCTGCTTCTCCCTTTCTTGTATTTTTCTTTTCCTCCTGTTGGTCCTTTCTCACTTTTTATGCTTTTTGTCCTCTGCCTGTTTTTATTCCACCTTCTCCCGTCCCTCTCCACTTCCAAATTCCTGCTCCTCTTCCCTCCTCCTTTTTGTCTTTCTCCGCCTCCTCCTCTTCCTTGTTTGGTCCCTTTTGAAGTTGAGCCCAGTGGCGGGACTCCACGGCGTAGACCTCTCTCCTTCTGCCCTTGCTGTGTCCAGGAAGGTAACGTAACCTCGCCAACCCCACCCTACTGCCTCAGAGGGGGCGCAGCAACTCTAGTCAAACACGAGCCAGCACCACCTACCCCTCTCTCTCTCTCTCTCTCTTTCTCTCTCTCTGACCCTCAAGAGTCTTGTCACAAAATGTCATGAGTCTGTGGCAGTTTCTAAAGGTACAGTATCCCTTTGACCGTCCAAGGGGAGGACCAGGGTGCAGAGTGAAGCCAGGGAGCCTCCAGGTCTGGGTGTTTCGGGGCTGCAGCACCGCCCAGCCCTTCGTGGTTGGGGCCTTTAAGTCTCACATCCATCAGCTAGAGGGGCAGGGATGCAGGTGAGGAGCCCCACCTGTGCACAGCGATTTGGTTGGCGGAGTCAAGGAATACTGTCCTTACAAAGACGGGTCTGCCCGAGTGCCCTCGGGTCCCTTTCCAGAACAACCACTGAAGGCAAACCTCTCTACCTTGTGTCTTGCTGAGTGTGTGTTTTTTCAGTTTGTCTGATTTGAAGTCTGTTGTGGTGATAAGATTGTCGTTGAAAGGCATGTGGGGGGTGTGGCGATGACTAACCCTGCTAACTGTTACCTGCCGTCCGGCACTCACCCGACTCCCACGCACAGCACCCCCGCCCGGCGGCTGTGGGCGAGCTCTCTGTAGCTAGTGAGCGGTGTTCGCACGTCTCTGGTGGCGTTTTCTGTCTTCGCGGGGAGGTGGGCAGCGGTAGAGAGTCCCTGGTGCCGCCGCGGCTGGGCGCACTGGACAGCTTGCATGCCTCGGGCCCCTCCTCCACAGCCATGTGGGCACATTGTGCAGAGACGCTCCGGAAGCAGTGCATGGAACTGAGTGGGGACCCGAGCCTATTGGATTGGGTGAAGAGAGCGCTGGGCCCCTGACCCTCAGGCTCAGGCATGCACTCCACAGTCAGGCTGGACAGGCCGGGGAGCTTCCGTCCTTCAGAGCAGGGCTCAGGGGCAGGACCCCGCTTGGGAGCAGAGCTGCATGTGCACTAGGGCACAGTGCAGACACCCCTGCTTGTGTGAACACAGTGCATTTCTGCCTCCTTGGTGTGGCCACTGGGTAGAGACTAACTGGCTTAGGCCTCATGTGTCTAGCAGACCCCACTGCAGAAAGTCTGTGAACCATGTGTCAGAAGGGCAGGTGGAGCCGTGGAGCCAGCAGTGAGGGGGACTCGGGCTGCGTCCGGCACCCCAGGCTGTGCACCTCGAACTCCTGGGCTTGTTAACCAGGCTAGAATGCCCCCTGCCAGCAATGCAGAGAGTGGAAGGGACTCTCAAAGATGTCCCCATCTAGTGGCCCCTCAACCTGAGGCCCAGGGATGGACTGCAGGAAGCCCGGGAACAGCCTGGAATTCTCCTTGAAGTGTTTGCTGTGCACGCATGAGCACTTTTCTAGAAGAGAGTCCCTAGCCTTTATGAGATTCTCAAAGTGGTTTGTAATCCAAAAATACTGAAGAGCCACTGACACAGCATGTATTCCAGGCAGGACCACACTTTTGCCATGAGCCTCTGTGCTGCAGAGAAAAGGCCTTGCTCCCTCCTTGGGTGGCTTGGTCCCTTGGAGATGTCTTCCTTGTGTCCTCCTGCCACCGTGAGGCCCAGCCGTCAGGCCCTCAAGAGGGAGATTTGGTATCAGGCACTTTTGGTTCGGGCAGCCTGAGCTAGCAGGCAGCAACCAGCCACAGGCATTCTATTGGTTTGGCCCAGACCAGGGCGTGGCACCTCCGTCGGTCCCCAGAGGCTGCTAGTGTTTCTCTGCTCTTGGTGAGAAACGCAGCGGCCCGCCTGGGATGCACTGCGTCCACCATGCAGGACCCGGCGGGAGAGCAGCCGGAAGCTTGATAGGCCACAAGTGAAGTGGTGTTGTCTTCTTTACCTGGTCAGGAGATAAAGAAATGACAAGGCATCCATTCTGGTGGCCCTGGAGGCGGGCAGCAGCCGGAAAAGAGCTGAGTTAAATGAGCATGACTCGAATCGAGGGCAGGGTGCAGTTGACAGATTGACATTGGCCTTGTTTACGACACTGGTTTCCTCCAAGGATACCTAGTACACAGCAAGTGCCAAATAAACACTGAGTGGGAAAAAGAGGGAAAGCAGCATAAGTCACCCCAAGAGAGCACACAGAGCAGGAAGGCAGAAACCAGCCCCGAGGAGGGCAAGGGCCCCGCTGGCGAGGTCGCTGGCGGGGTGAGCAGGGATGGCAGGACACGGGAAGCACAGGGCCCTGCCCCGGGGAGGCGGTCGCCAGGACCCCGTGGCTGCAGGCAAACCTTGGGCCTGGCTTGGGAGTGGAAGTTCCGGCAGCATCTTGCCCGGCCCTCTTTGCACATTTGCCCCGTGTGACTCCTGCGGGCCGGGGTGGGTGCGGCACTCCCTGCGCCCGACACGAACGTTCTTTCGGCAGGCATGGGCAAGAAGGACGACCCCAAGCTGATGCAGGAGTGGTTCAAGCTCGTGCAGGAGAAGAACGCCATGGTGCGCTACGAGTCGGAGCTGATGATCTTGTGAGTGGCCGTGGGTAGGGGGTGTCGGCACCATGCCTGTCACAGCAGACATGGAGGTCCTTCTGGATTTGGGGGTGAGGGGTGGTCGCCAATCACTGTGGCTTATCTCTCTCCTGCCCTGCCTCCTCAGTGCCCGGGAGCTGGAGCTGGAAGACCGACAGAGCCGACTGCAGCAGGAGCTCCGGGAGCGCATGGCAGTGGAAGGTGAGTGGGCTGAGGTGCCCGTGGAGGCCAGGGTGGGCACCGCCTCCTGGGCCCTCACCTCGCCTTCCACTCCTTCCAGATCACCTTAAGACCGAGGAGGAACTGTCAGAAGAGAAGCAGATTCTCAATGAGATGCTGGAGGTGGTGGAGCAGAGAGACTCGCTGGTGGCGCTACTGGAGGAGCAGCGGCTCCGGGAGAGAGAGGAGGACAAGGACCTGGAGGCTGCCATGCTGTCCAAGGGCTTCAGCCTGAACTGGTCCTGAGCTCCCACCCAGCGCTCCGTTGGCTGTTGGCATCCGCCTGGCCAGTCAGTGGCCTCCAAACCACCTGGAGCCGCAATCTGAGGAGGCCTGGCACCTCCTTGGAGTTTACGCTCAGTGCTGTGTGCTGCCCGGAAAGTGGCCGAGTCCCGTGAGCCGTGGGGAGCCCCAGGTGACGGTGGTTATCTGAGACAGCTCCACCTCCTGGGAGGAGGCCCACCTGGACCTCCCGCTCGGGGGAGGAACACGGCCTGCGTGGCCTGACGCAGGGGACCCCGCACGCTCCGAGGACGCGCTGCTGTGCCCCTTTCTTCCACTGGCACGTTTGGTAAGAGAGGGAAGCTGCTCCCATCAGAACCACAGCCTGCTGCCACAGCATGGGCGGGGCACCGTCGTCCTCCTGCTTCCTGGAGCACCACCAAAGAAATGAAAACGATACGCCACGAGAGCAGGGTGCGATCGAGACCCAGGATGGGGAGGTCACCAGCTGTGCCCACCGCAGCATCACAGGCGACATGGAGGTGCCTGCAGGCTCCGGGATTGACTATGCAAATTAGGAGGAGGCAGGAGAGGTCTGCCCCCACCCGGCCCAGCACCATGCTGGACCCCAAGTGGCCAAATGCCGGTGCCTCTGGCTGGCTGTGGCCTGAGGCCTGTGGGTTGCTGCATTTTGCTTATAGTTCACAACTATTCTGACACTGGAAAATGCTGACCTTGGTGGACGGGATGAGGCCCTGCATTCTACGCCCCCAGCTGGCAGACAGGCCCTGTCCCTGCTCCACACTTTATGTCGGGGAGGAGATGACCTTTTCCTCAGTTTTTTCCCGTGTTTGCACATTGAAATGAAGCTGACAGCCTGGCAGGACGCTCAGCCGCTTCGGACCCCTCTGTCAATTAACTTATTTTTTTAATACTTGAAAAGAAGTCACTTCATTTGTGTATCTTTACCAGAGACACTGAGCACCTGGCACCCGGGTGCGGGAGCGCAACAGCATGTGCTGCGTCCTGCGTGACCCGGCCAGGGGCTGCCTGGTGCTCACCGTGTGCATCTATTTATTAGCCTTCCTCTTCATGTCACTGGCTCAGCTGGCATCAGGGAGCTGCCCAGGACCCCGAGCAGGTACTGCTCACAGCTTTGTCCCCTTCCTCTTCCCGGTGCCTGCCTCACCCTGCACTAGACCGTACGGACTGCTCACGTGATGGGGGCACGTTTCTGTTCTGTTTTGGTCCAAGCCAATGGCGTAGCTGCCGCTCTCACCCTCCCGATGGGAATCCTGGCTCTGCAGAACCCATCCTTTTCTCAGTGTGGGTGCCAGGGCATCACCTCCCTCCACACGTACATTAAAGGTTTCCGGGTGGGACTGTGGAATCATGTGGCTGGTGAGAATCCCCTCTGCCCAGCCCGAGCTTCACCCAGATGGAAACGCCTGTGCGGCAGTGGGTGATGGGTGTCGGCTGGTCTCTCTTGAGCAGATAAGCGATCCCGCCCTCCCGTGGGGGACGGGCACCTGCCTTGTGCCAGATCTTCATGGGGCCATAAAGGGTGGTGAGCCCCGAATCACTAGCTCCTACAGCCAAACCGTTCCTTTCTCACGGTTCCACCCCAGCCTGGCTCTATACAGCTCATCAAGCCACTGAGATAATCGGGGGTGGGGTGCTTGTCCATCAAAGCAGTTAGCACATAGCCCAGGAAGGAGCCACCGGGCCAGACCCACCTGCAAGGGGCGCTCCAGCTGCCTGCCGCCTCCTGTGGGCTAGGGCCAGCAGGGGCTAGGGGGTGTGGCCCCTCCAAGGCATCCTGCAAGAGCAGGCCAAGGGGCTGCGCTGATCTTGGGCTTTCCATGGGAACCACTGTGCCTCAACTTCAGCATTCATCCCCAACTGCAAAGGAGCAAAGAACCCATCTCCTCGTCTGTCCAGAAGCTGCGTCTTTCTCCCGTGCACATCCAGGAGCTGGTGCTGGTAGCCGCCACAGCTCTGACTCCACCTCCTGTTCTCACGTGAGGCAACGATCTCCCTTTTCTCTTTACTTAAAAACGGAGAGAAGAGCGTTCTAGATTCCATCTTCAAACCGAGTCTTCCCATAAAATTGGACATGGGGAAGGACCTTCACTGCCTGCGTGGTCTTTCCCAGAGCCCTCCTCTCGAATGCCACAAAACCGGCCCCGCCCTGGCAGAGGCACCCTCAGCCCTTGTGGCTCCTGCTGACCCCCCCACAGGGAAGCCGTCTGCGCAGTGGCTCCAAAGGAGTGTGGCCTAGGGGTCCGCCGTAAGTGGCCTGAGGTAGCAGGAGGGCCCAGCGTCACCTTCTGGTCCTGGTCAGCCTTAACCCTGGCCTCCTCCACAGCACACACGACGGCCCGCGGTCTGGAAAGCGGACCCGGCCTTCGCAGAGGCGCACAGAGCCGCAGGCCCGCGCAGCGTCACCCGGCCTTCCGCTCGTGACTGCGAGGACGTCGGCTCTTGTAGAGCACTTTTTTAAAGCTCCCATTTTGTAACCACTAGTTTGCAGTTGGCTTTAATACTCTGGTGACTTACTGCATGAAGGGTTTTCAAACCGTGAGAATGCGTGCAGCTCCAGGCAGGTCTTCTTCCTGAGAGTGCAGTCTTCTCTTGAAGTCAGGGAGGCAGGATGGATGCACATAGATCACACAGAACATGCCAGGCTCGAGGCTGAGTCCCTGGAGGTCCACATGCAGCTTCCCTGGAGGGCAGGCAGGAGGCGCTCCCGCCCCGGGGGCTCCCAGGCCCGTTCAGATGCTGCCTCCGGCCTCTCCCTCAGCGGCCATCCTCCGGCCGATACTGACCAGCAATGATGGACTCTTCTTAACCCTTTCAAAAGAAGAAATTTTTCAGTGGGACAGAAAGGAGAGTTTAAAAAAATTTTTTTTCTAAGGTGGTAACATCTGACCCACAAGGGGATGGGTCTGTTTTACGTGAAATAAAAGTTTTTCAAAGAAATAGTGTGTTTCTTCAGTCATCTTACCATATTTTTCTGGTGGCCCGTGTAGGCGCCAGGTGTGCCTGGGTGTGTGCAAGTCTGTTCAATGAACTCGGTTTTTTTAAGTTTGTGCTTTTTTTTAAGCCCTCCGTAATATCCTGGCTCAGCCACCAGCTGCTGTCACCTTGGTCAATGTCTGAGGCACCCACTCTTCAGACGAAGCCCCATGCCCTCTGGAAGAGAAGTGTGCTCTTTGAATGGGAGACAGTCCAGGTCAGGGACTGACCTCCTTCCAGCCCTGCCCGGCTCTGTCCTGCAGCACAGCTGGCCCGGGAGCCCATGGCATGGGGGCTGCAGCTTCCTCTCCCAAACCTTTCAGATGCTTCAACAACCTCGGGTCCATTCCGTGTGTAGAGTCACTCTGTAGCCTGAAACTGTCCCCAGGAGACTACAGGGAACAGTCCTGGCCAGCTCCTCTTTGTTTGCTGTAAGAAGCTTCCGGGGCACGTCCCAGCTCTCTCCCTAACCCCTCTTCGCGTGTTGCATTGTTGGCGCCATGTGGGGAGGGAAAGACCCCAGCAGCTGTGTGCACATGAGCCGCACCCCACAGGCCAGCTGCAAGTCACTCCGTGGAAGCTGGCAAGCTGGCTCCCAGTCCTTCCGGCTGCATTCCCAGCTATTCCAGAACGAAGAAAGGACTGGCTGGGACAAACGTGGGCATGTCAGGTAGAACAGAGGACAAAGATGGATGAGTCGCTCACTGTGCATATCCTGTGGCCCTAGGGGACGTTCTGTGCCTGCCGGGCCTGGGAGCCTTGCCTTCGGGAGAAAGGAGAGCTGGGTCACCAACCCTTGCCTGCTGTGAAAGGGAGTGGAGCTTGGTCACCTGACCCCCCAGGCTCCTGTTCCTCAGGAGGGCTTGCTTTGTCAGAGCTGCACCAGGCAGGGTTGGGCTGCAGTTCACGGCCACCCCAGGTGGCAGGAAGTGATGAGCGTTGCTTTGGGGAGGACACCACAGAGGAAGGCTGCCGGGCCAGGCCAGTGCCGCTGTCAGAAGCACACAGAGGCCACACGCCGTGGCTCATGCCTGTAATCCCAGCACTTGGAGAGGTCACGGTGGGCAGACCACTCAAGGTCAGGAGTTCAAGACCATTCGCCTGGCCAGTATGGTGAAATCCCGTCTGTACTAAAAGTACAAAAGTTAGCTGGGCATGGTGGTGCACGCCTGTCATCCCCGATACTCAGGAGGCTGAGGCAAGATAATTGCTTGAACCTGGGAGGCAGAGGTTGCAGTGAGCAGCGATCACACCACTGAACCCTGGGCAACAGTGAGACTCCGCCTTTAAAAAAGCCTGGCCAGGCGCAGTGGCTGAGGTGGGCAGATCACCTGGGGTTGGGAGTTCGAACCAGCCTGACTAATATGGAGAAACCCGGTCTCTACTGAAGATACAAAATTGGCCGGGTATGGTGGTGCACGCCTGTAATCCCAGCTACTTGGGAGGCTGAGGCAGGAGAATCGCTTGAACCCAGGAGGCGGAGGTTGCAATGAGCCAAGATGGCGTCATTGCACTCCAGCCTGGGCAACAAGAGCGAGACTCCCATCCCAAAAAACCCTAAATATATAGTCTTTATCATTTTTAAATTTTAAAATTATTTTAAAACAAGCACGAGATGCACTTCTTTCATGAACCGCCACATCTAACAGCTCCAGTTTTGCTGAACCCTGAATCCTCATAGAGTCCCATCTTGAGTCAGCCAAAAATGAAGGGACAAGACACACCATATTCCGTGGTGTAAGCTGGCCACACTGGCTCACGTACTAGACCCCCGCTTCGTGTCCCCAGCTGGCATGGCCCTTCCCAGTGATGCCTGGTGAGGAGGGTGAGAGCCATGCCAGCCACATACTGCCTGGGAGCCCGTCAGACGCCCCCATGGCCCCCATGGCCCTCCCGACAGCCTGTGGCTGCTCAGCTTCACCAGGAGCTTTTCGGCAGCCCCCTTGTGTGCCCCCTGCCCCAAGCTCTTCCTGCAGCCGGGGCTTTGCTGGGGAAGGCGGAGTCCCGTTGCTGTGGGTAGGCCACGTGTTCCGCAGCCACTGCCCGGAGAAACCACCTTCTGCCAGGACAGAGGAGGGAGACAGTCCGTGTGCTGCACACACAGCCCCTTTTCATGCCCAGGGGCCTCCGAGCCACAGACTGCACCTCCAGTACTGTAGCAGCCTGGGTTCCAGCCATGGGCCTAGGGTGGGGTGGCCTAGAACTAGGTGGACGGGGCTGAGGGCCTCCCTGGGCCGCCGTGAGACTGCCAGTATCGAGTGGTCCCCAAGGCAGGCAGGTGCAGCACCCTCCAGACCCAGTAAGTGCGTGTGGAGCCACCTTGACCACACTGCCGGTGCCTGCCCACCCATGAGAGGGCAGCAGGGAGCACAAGTCAGCAGGTGGGCATCAACTCAGCGTCCTGGCGGGACTGTGTTCCTGCATCTTCCCCCGAAGTCAGCCTGGACACACCACTCACCTGGCCAGTGCCTTGCGTTCCTCCCACCAACTTGGGACTGGTTGGGGGAGCACATGGGAGGGCTGGAGGTTCTGGGGTCGGGACCTGTGTAGATGCACAGACGCCCCATGATGGGAGAATCCTTGGAGGACTTGGGAGGCAGCCCCTTGCAGCTCAAGGCTGGCCTCCCTGTTTCATGAGCTTGCTGGGCACAGCCCCTGTGGAGTGGTGTTCCCAGAGCGTGAACGCCCCGACATCCCCAGCCACCTTCCACCCAAACAGCAAGTCAGAGCTGCTGTCCCTGCACCAGCTCCAGGAACAAGCCACGAGTTCCCAGGCCTTCACAGGGCCATCATCAAGGACGAGGGATTTGTCCAGATGGGTGCTGGAGTGTCAGCGTTGAGGGGCTGCTCAACCCACAGGTGCTCGGCCCAGCAGGCAAGATGGCCCCCATGAGTGTCCAGGACCTGACTTCTTTTTTTTTTTTGAGACAGAGTTTCGCTCTTGCTGCCCAGGCTGGAGTGCAATGGTGCCATCTCAGCTCATCACAACCTCCACCTCCCGGGTTCAAGTGATTCTCCTGCCTCAGCCTCCTGAGTAGCTGGGATTACAGGCACGCACCACCACGCCCGGCTAATTTTGTATTTTTAGTAGAGATGGGGTTTCTTCATGTTGGTCAGGCTGGTCTCAAACACCTGACCTCAGGTGATCCACCCGCCTCAGCCTCCCAAAGTGCTGGGATCACAGGCTGGGCGCCTGCGCCAGGCTGCCTTTCTAGCCCCGGGTTGTCTCCCTGGCAGTGTGCCTGCCAGGTCGGTCTTAGGAGGAAAGGAGAGAGAGGCACCAGGCAGCCAGCGGCTCCCTTTCCCTGGTGGGTCTTACTTTTTTTAAAAATGTTTTTAGAGAATTAAATACTTTTCAAAAATGTATCTAGGACCAGGCTCATTCCCTCGGGGGGCTGGGTGTGCCATGAAACCAGGGCTCTGGGACGCCTGCCACCTGGAGGCCCCAGCACAGGGACCATCTACCCAGCCAGGCGGCCCCTGCAGGGGCTCCCAGGGGTCCCGGCTCCCTCGACTCCTCCACAGCCAGTCATTCCTGCCTGCCCCCTGCCCTCCGTGTCTGTAGCTCCTGAGTTGCTGCTGCTGGTTGGTGAATTTCTGTCGTTCCCCTGGCGTGCCCATGTATTTTGACAAGAAAAGACAAGAAGGAAAATTGTCTTTTTCCCCAAGCTTCTTGCCCACGTCAAGGACAGGTCTAGGTAGCAGTGCTAATGAGAGGGATCTCTGCTGTTGGAGAGGGTGGGATGGGAGGGGTCTCAGAATCAAGATGCAGGCAGGATCAGGGAGGAAAAATTAGAAACCCCACTTATTTCAAGCCAGGATTGTGATAAGAAGGACTTTGGATTCTTGTAATTCCTGTAATGGCTGTTTCCTGAAGGGTAGTGTCACGTGGAACCTCTTAATCTCAGCATCTGGAGCTCCAGGAGGGGAAAATTTCAAGTCAGATGGAATTCTATATATACCATTCCTTTCGAGCCTTCAGCCCTCAAGATTCCAACATCATGCCCTCAGTTTCGACACCGTTGTCCTTGGTCCTTAGGTCACTGGTTTTGGGGTTGCCTGTTGTCGAAGCAGAAGAAGCTGGTGACATCGCCCTCTGTTAGGTGTGGCTCTCAGCATCACAGGCATTTGTGCCTGCTTGGGGGCATATGCATGAAAAACAAATGGACAGATGTGACGTTGAAGGGCTACCGAATCAAACCTCATCCTTTTCAACCTTCGTGCGATAGAGGCTAAACCTGAGCTTTGGTGTCTGAAAGTTTCTAAGATGCAGTAAATAAGGGATTTTTACATTTTTTGGTGTTTCCATGAAATGGGAACAAACATACATATATAAATTGGAAAAAAAAGTGTTTCTTTGCAACAAATAATGCACATAAAAATGCAGCCTATAATTTGTATTTGCTAGTTAGGAAGGAGGTCAAATGTCAGATGGCTGCAATTTACATAGGTAATATTTCATAGTTTTAGAATTCTCAAAGCCTGTGAAATAGGAAGAAGGAAGTTCTTGCCCAGAGTCTTAGGAAATCACCACTGTTCGGTTATATTCGGTGCCTCCCGAATGGTTCAGGAGTCTTTCCTCAATCTTTTTATTAGATTTTTCTTTTTTTGTCACTCAAGTTAATATTGTATTCAGATATCAGAGAGTTAGCCAAAAAGGGAAACTTTTATCTCTGGGGAAAAAACGTTTAGAAAAATGTATTCAGTGTATCTAATACTGAAATGCAGAAAGAAATTAATGTTAAAAAAAAAAAAACTATAGACATTGACATGGAAAAGAGATTTATTGTTAAGAAAAAAACTTTAACTGAGTAACATCCTCCTGAAAAGTGCTATATTAAATATAAACCCATCATGTTTAAAAAAAAAAAAAAGAAGAAGAAGAAGCTGCCCTAGGGCACTGCCCACAAGCAGAAGCAATCGGATGGCATCAAAGGGAGCACTGGCCCCCAGAACCCTGCGGAGCCCTGAGTGAGGGGAGAAGGCCTGCTGGCCGCCCCAGGCACGGGGCGTCCTATCCCCTGACCCAGGCAGGGTGTACGTTCTGCTCCCACCAGGTCAAGGTTCGGAGCAGGGCAAAGAACTTCTTTTTTTTTTTTTGAGACGGAGTTTCACTCTTGTTATCCAGGCTGGGGTGCAATGGCGCGATCTCAGCTCACCGCAACCTCCACCTCCTGGGTTCAGGCAATTCTCCTGCCTCAGCCTCCTGAGTAGCTGGGATTACAGGCACGCGCCACCATGCCCAGCTAATGTTTTGTATTTTTAGTAGAGATGGGGTTTCGCCATATTGACCAGGATGGCCTCAATCTCTTGACCTGGTGATCCACCCGCCTCAGCCTCCCAAAGTGCTGGGATTACAGGCATGAGCCACCGCGCCCAGCTGGGCAAAGAACTTCATGCATGAGACAAGTGGTTCAAAAGAACAAGGTCCACCCAGTCTCCCCCCAGCACCATCCTTTCCTCCTCCCCGGGGAGGAGTTCTCCAAGGCCCTGGGGTGAACTAAGGCACAGCCACGCTCTCGGCCAGACGCCATGGCAGAAGAGCACGTGGGTGCAGGCAGGAGCAGTGGAGAGCAGGTAAGAGATTAACTAGGGCTAAGGCAGTTGTAAACATCATCGTTTCAGATGCATTTTCAGGTGCCAAAGAATTGTCCTTGGCTGTGGGAGCTGACGGCGAGCTCAGCCACGGCCGGGAGCCAGCAGTACTGTGCAGTATTGAAGCTGGCTTTCCCACAGGGGGCCTGGGGGCGGCAGCACCCCACTAGGGAAAGTCCTCTGGGTGGATCCACCATTCAAAACTTTCCCGACACTGGAGATACAGGCTAAGAATCCCTAATGCAGGATTTCTTTTGAGCATCATGTCAGCAAAGATTCCAAAATCTGAGAAATTGAAACACTTCTGGTCCCACGCACTCTAGATAAAGGGACACACACCCACCTGGAGCCCCTCCCTTCTCCATCATGCTCCTCTAAAGATCCCGGGAGCCTTCATCCCTGTCTCCAGGAAGATCCTTTGCCGGAGGCCACATGCTCACGAGAACCGAGCTCTAGAGCAGGCGTCTACCTGGCTGGATGACGCCAGACGTTGCTCGCCAAGCCTGCTTCCACCTTTGAACCAGGAAAAGAGCATCCACTTTTCCGCCCCGGAAAGAGACGCTAGACGCTGTGCACTCTGGGTCTTGTGGGGTGCTGGGCCATCCTGCGGCTGCCGAGTCGATCCCATACGGACATTTCCTCCCTGAAGGCCGACCTGGCCCTGCCCACCCACACCTGGGAGCAGCTCCCGCCCAGGCCTGTGACCAGAAACGCCACAGTGTCTCCTCTGGCTGCCATGAACTTCACGATGACACCCGGGTCTCAGTGCTGTGTGTAGGAAAGGAAGGAAGCCACGAGGTCAGATGGGATGTGGGGAGATTCGGTACAGGAGTGAGCACAGGAAGGAAGGTGGCAGAAACGTCATGTAAGGTGAGGCGTGTGTCCCCTGGCCTCTCGCGGATGGCGGGGCTGAACTGCGCACAGCATGGCCCCTCCCCGGGGGGCCCACAGCCTGCGCCCCTTCACGCTGCACGTGGCATTGCTGGTTTCTGTATCTTTAAGCAGAATGCTGGACACAGTGGTTTGCCCTCTGCTCAACATCCCTCCAACAAATCACCACGAGCAACACTCCGCAGCCACAGCCGCCCCAGCCGGGACCCCCACACTGGGACCTCCACTCCCTTCCCTTTGCTGGGTGTGATTTGGCCAACACCCAAAGAGATCGCTTCAGAAAAGGCAGGAGGAGGGGAAGGACAGCATGCGGGGCCCTGGCCTGGGCCAGCCCTGGGGTGGACGCCAGAGGGCCCAGCTCGCCGGGAAATCCTGCTCGCCCTGCCCCCGCGCCCATTCTGAGCCACAGTCAGACTCTGGGAGGGGCCGTGCTTGGAGTTTTCCAGCCCTTGGGCCTCAGGAGTTAGCCCTCGGAAGGTTGGTGGCGGGGTCTCACTAGCAGCTGAGGGTCGCTGGCACTAGATAGAACGGTCCCAGGGAAAAGGCTGCTTGAAGCAACATGGGAAATCCCAGACTGGTCTTTCTGCAGAGGCTGAGTCACGCCAGCCTCCCAGAGCTTCCGCTGGCCACACCCGCCCCAGCAGCGGGGCTGGGGAATTCCTGCGGGCTCCTCCCAGCTCCCTCGGTGGGAGGGACTGGTCTTCACCGTGGGCATGAACAGGACTTTCACCCCCCAGGCTCTGCTCCTGCATCGTGCTCTCTCTCCGCTCTCCTCCTGCCTTCACAACCCACCTGCCCTTCAAGGCCCGGCGCCTGGACTTGGGGTGGGGGAAGCCCCTCCCAGCCAGGTACCACCAGCAGGACCCTTCTCTGGGCTGTCAGGGCGGAGCCCTGATTCTAAGCAGAGAGGGCAGCTCTGTGGTGGGCACTGACTGGGCCAAAAACCACCCGCCCCTGCGCTGTGGCCCTTTGACATTGGCTGAGAGCCCTGGGCCATCCCTGGAGCCCCAGCTCTGGGGGTACTAACTGCAGGGAGGGCTGTGTGCACCCGGCCCCCCTGTCATGCAATGGGGTGCTTTCACTCTGTCTTCCACCCAGGTCTCAGGCAGGTGTTTACTGTCCGTTTCTGTCCCAGAGATGAGGGGAATGGGACAGCCGGGAAGGAGGAAGCTTCACTCCAGCCATCAGGCCCCCACCAGCGCTGGAGTGGGCTCCAGTTCAGGGTCCAGGAGACCGCTGAGCCCACGGGCTTGTTCCCAGGGGAGCAGAGGTTTGCACAGACCTCGCCTCCTGCAGTGTGGAGGGATGAGATGCCTGGAAGGGCGGGACGGAGAAATGGCCCACTTGGTAATAGGCATGACCACGTGCCAGCCCTGGCCAGCTGGGGACAGGCCAGCTCTGCCCTGCCTCCACAGCCCCGCCCTCAGGCCAGGGGAATGCCAGCCCCTCCACCCTCATTCCTTCTGCTTCTGCCAGCACCTGAGCTCCGGTGAGAGCACAGCAACCCGGCTGGGGAAGAAGCGGCACCCAGAGAGAGTTCACCATCCGGAAGAGCATGGGAGCGCCTGGGGCGGATGGCAGGGGGAGGGGCTTCGGGGCAGGGGAAGGCGGTGGGGGCAGCTGCCGGGCGGGGAAAAGGGAAGGGTGCGCTGACACAGATGCTGGGTGGGGGAGGGGCAGTGTGCCGCAGCCCCTCGCTCCTGTCTTCTGCCCCGCCCCTCGGGAATTACCATCCAGCCCAGCTCTGAAGCACTCCATAGGGAGCCCCGCCAGCCTACTGAGCACACAGAGCCACTAGGGGCCTAGTACCTCTAGGGCACTAGGGCACTGCCAGGCAATCACAAGCCAGGCTTCCTGAGCGCCTGCTGGGTGCCTGAGACCTTGCCTTTCATATATTCACAGCCCCCCTCTGAGGAATGTACTATCATTCCTTAATGACAGGAAATCATCGGGGCCCAGGAAACCTGCTCTGGGGCCTCAGGATGGGGGGAGCTGGCCGCCAGCTCTCCTGGGGTCAGCCCCCTGGCCAGTTATGGCCACAAAGCTCATCAGGGATAGAGCTGAGGAAACAAACTCTGAAGGCTGAGCTCTTACCCACCAAGCTAGCTGCCTCCCGCCCTCCTCCCCACTTGGGAGGCCTGCTCAGACCCCTGTGCCCATCCTCCCTCCGCCCCCCAGGTGCACACGCGCCCCTCCGCCCCCCAGGTGCACGCGCCACCTCCGCCCCCCAGGTGCACAGGCGTTCCCTCCGCCCCCGAGATGCACACGCTCCCTCCGCCCTCCAGATGCACACGCCCCCTCCGCCCCCCAGGTGCACAGGCGCTCCCTCCGCCCTCCAGATGCACACATGCTTCTGGTCGGATCCACGCCTGCTCTTCAGTGAACCCGTCCTGGCTTCTGCCCCAGGTCACTTGCGAGTGAGCCCCTTGCACTGACTCCCCATCTTCACCCCTGGAACGGGTCTATCTCAGCACCCTTGGGAGGAGAGCCTCAGAGGAGAGCTGGGACCGCCACACTGAGCTAGCAACGCACCTGTGCAGTCCCAGGTCTGGAGGTCCCAGTCTGTAACTGCGGCTCTCTGCTGTGCAGGCGTGGGAATGCTGCAGTCTCCTTCCGCAGAGAATGTGCTCAGCCACAAAGGCCTCACACTCCAGGGTCTGTCCGCGGCTCCTGCAGCTGCGCCCTTGGCCGCTGTTGCTGTGGCAGCAGGCCCCATCAGATCTCCTTCATGGCTGCCCAGTTCTCTCCTTCCCTGTCTCCCCTCCCAGGGGTCAGGGGTTCAAGAGCAGCCTGACCAACACGGTGCAACCTCGTCTCTACTAAAAACACAAAAATTAGCTGGGCGTGGTGGCACACACCTGTAATCCCAGCTACTCAGGAGGCTGAGGCAGGAGAATTGCCTGAACCTGGGAGGCGGAGGTTGCCCGGTGAGCCAAGATCGTGCCACTGCACTCCAGCTTGGGCGACAGAGTGAAACTTCGTCTCAAAAAAAAATGTACTGCCAGGGAGACCTCACCACAGGCCCACCTTAGACAGGAGCTCTGCCCCTACAATTCAGTGCCCAGGTCGCGCTCCAAAGAAAGCCTCATTCAGGCTGATGATGAGGATATGAATGAGAGTGACTTGTCACGGCAGCAAGTTGGAGGTCATTGGGGTTCCATATTTTGGGAAGCAGATGGACAAAATACAGGGCTGCCCACAGTGGGGGGCCCCCGGGCACTGGAGCCACATGTGCCACAACATGGAGGGACCCAGCAGGCAGAGCTGGGGGGAGAAAGCGTGCCAGCTCACATCTCAGTGAAACACACCCACACAGCAACAGCACGCTCGGCCCGAGACTGCGTAGGAAGCCGTGCTGGGCGTGGAGGAAGCCAGCAGGACTGTCGCCACCTCCCCTTGCAGCTTCCGTCCTCAAACGAGCGTCCCTCGGGTCTGCGGCAGCCTCAACTCTGCACACCCATGCTTGGACACCCACAGCACACACAGGGACCCTCGCAGAGCTGTCCCCAAGCCCCTCCCCTGGCCCGTGTGGGGGTGTGAGTGGTAGAAGGCTAGCCCCAGGCTCTGCTTCCCTGTGAGTCATGTGGGCTGAGTCTGACCTGGAGGCCCAGGGCCAGAACCGGAGCGGGGAGGCGTCACGTCATTGCAGGAGTTCAGAGACACCTGACACGGCTCCCCTGAGCTCTTCTTGGCTATGACCTGGGCCTGTCAGAAGCAGCCTGTGAGGAGGGTTGCAAGTGACCCAGACCTGGGAAGGACGGCAAGGTTTGAATTTTGCTTAAAAAAAAAACTTTGCCCTTGACCATCGGGGGACAAGATAGGCGCGAGGCCTCCTGGGAACAGGAGAGGGAGGCCACCCGGTGAGGCTGTAGCCTCAGCACTAGCTATATATTACGTGGATGACTTAAATCAGAGTTGCATATCCAAGTAATCAAAGAATAAATAGGCCGGGATGGGTGTCTCACGCCTGTAATCCCAGCACTTTGGGAGGCCGAGGCGGGCAGATGACAAGGTCAAGAGATCGAGACCATCCTGGCCAACATGGTGAAACCCTGTCTCTATTAAAAATACAAAATTTAGCTGGGCGTGGTGGCGCGTGCCTGTAGTCCCAGCTACTCAGGAGGCCGACGCAGGAGAATTGCCTGAACCCGGGAGGCAGAGGCTGCAGTGAGCCAAGATTGCGCCACTGCACTTCAGCCTGGGCGACAGAGACCCTGTCTCAAAAAAATACATAAATAAATAAATAAATAATCAATCTTTTAGTTACTGGGCTCCAGCCTGGCAGCAGAGTGAGACTCTGTTCAAAAAAAAAAAAAAAAAAAAGAATAAATACCAAGCTCAGGGCCTGGTGAGGGGCCGAGCCAGACTCTCTGCAACCCTCATGGCTTCACCCATTTTCCAAACCTCTGGTTCCGTGAGGACCGAGAATGAGCACCCCAGACTACCCCAGAAACAGCCTGGGGATTCTGAAAGTCTCCCAGAGCACAGGCAGTGACAGGGAGAGACGCCCAGCCCCTCTCTCTGGAGGGGTGGGTGGTTCACAGCAGGAGGCAGGCAGGCAGAACACCACAGACTGGGGCTCACAATTCTCAGCCAGGAGGAGGAGATAAACGCGCAGGCAAGGCTGGGTTCCCGGGACGCCTCTCTCCCTGGCTTGGAGAGCGTGTGTTCTCCCCCAGGTCCTTCCCTGTGCGGGCGTCCCTGTCCCCATCAGGACACCAGTCAGATAGGAGTCGGGCCATCCGCTGACCTCACCTAACCTTAGTCACCTCCTGAAAGTCCCTATGTCCAAGCACAGTTGCGTTCCGAGGTCCTGGGGGTCAGGGCTTCAACTAGGAATAATAAGAGCACTCAAGTCAGCCCGTAATAGCTAACAGCGGGCTTTGAAATAATCTTTTAGGGCACAGTGTCTCACACCTGTAATCTCAGCACTTTGGGAGGCCGAGGAGGACGGATCACCTGAGGTCAGGAGTTCAAGACCAGCTCGGCCAACTTGGAGAAACCCTGTCTCTACTAAAAATACAAAAATTAGCCAGGCGTGGCGACGCATGCCTGTAATCCCAACTACTCAGGAGGCTGTGGCAAGAGAATTGCTTGAACCTGGGAGGCGGAGGTTGCGGTGAGCTGAGATCACGTCACCACACTCCAGCCTGGGAGACAGAGACCCTATCTCAAAAAATAAAGAAATAAATAAATTAATTAATTAATAGTCTTTTAGGAACTAGGCTTCTCAAGGATGCTTTTGAAAATTCCAGCCTTGCTCTGCTGCAAAGGGGGAACTGAGGAAGAGGGACACAGGAGGAGGAGCCCAGTGGCAGGAAGCGACAGTGAGAAAGAAATTGCAGCAAAAAGCAGAACTGAGGGCCGACTGTAACTCTGCGGGTCGCCAGCTCGTCCTCCCCGTCAAACCTTGCTGAGTTTTGTGTTTCATTTTCATCGCCAAAAACGTCATTCAGGCTGGGCGCAGTAATCCCAGCACTTCGGGAGGCCAAGGCGGGAGAACTGCTTGAGCCCAGGAATTCAAGACCAGCCTGGGCAACACGGCAAGACCCTGTCTCTTAGGGGAAAAAAAAAAAAAAAAAAAAAAAAAAAAAGCTCCTTTTCTTTTTGAAGCGTTTGCGGGAAACATCACCCTCTCTCATTTTACAAATACCGCAGACAGATTTTGAAGCCCAAAGCATCATAGAGGCAGCAAATCAGGACAGGAAGGAGTGAGGTGGGGAGAATATTCCCTGCCTGTAAGAAGCACTTAAGAGAGCTGCAAAAAGCCAGCATGAGAGGCAAAAACTGTGGGGGCCAATTGGCACAGGTCCTGCCCTGTGTGACAGGGCTTTGAATAAAATCCAACTGCCACCCCGCACTGCTGGAGCCTCCCTGCCTTCAGGCCACCCCACTGGCCCCTTCCCCACTGTGCCCCACCATTGAAGCTCTCACCTGCCCTGGGGGCGCCTGCTGACTTTGCGCCATGAATTTGAACCCCACCCCACAGATGACCTGGCGGCAACCTCTGAAGCTTCCCTTTTGTCCTCTGCAGGGCACCTGCCCCTAACGCCACCTAACCCCTGCTCACATAATCTTCCATTTCCTTAACCCCCTGGAGGGCCAAGTCCCAGTGAAGAGCATGCAGGAAACAAGCCCCTGTCCACCTGTCCTCGGGGAGGTTACATCTCGAGAGGGGAGGCCGGCAACACACACACCAACGACTCTGCAGCTGCGATGCTGGCTGTGGAAACTGAAGGAGGAAACTGAAGTGAGGCTGGGTAAAGCCAGAGGCGATGGGGGCTGCCAGGAGGAGCAGGGACCCAGCGGGATTCGCCCAGAGCAGGGCAGGCCACGTGGCACTCTACAGACCACTGAAAGGAACTTGGCTTTTCATCTGCACGAGGCGGAAAACCGTAGATGATGGTAAGGGTGAGTGACATCCTCTGACCCTTTATAAAAGCAGCAAGAGTCTAGGAAGCCCAGGTAGAAGTGAGGGCGGCAGGAGGAGGCCGGGCAGCGCAGTGGGCTCGGGGAGCGAGCCCAGGGAGGGTGCGGGGCGACTGGACCCGACAGCGCAGGTGGGAGTGCCCAGTGGTAGCTCCACCTTGGAAAGCTGGCAGTTTCTAATGCCATGGCTGTTCCACTCCCAGGTGTCACACTCAGGAGAAGTGAAGACACCCACAGAAGGCTCCGCAGCAGCGCTGTTGGTGAGAGCCGCATCTGGGGGTGCATGGATTGGCCCGTCATTGCAGCACTTTGGGAGGCCGAGGCAGGAGCATCTCTGGAGCCCAAGAGTTCAAGACCAACCGGAGTCCTCCAGAGGGGGAGACTCCCCATCTCTACTAAACGTGGAAAAAGAAATCAGCTGAGTGTGGTGGTGTGCGCCTGCAGTCCTAGAATCCCCTACTTGTTAAGTTGATGTTTGCAATCAGACTTGCATATCCAAGTAAATAAGGAATAAATACCAAGCACAGGGCCTGGTGAGGGGCTGGGCCAGACTCTCTGCAAGCCTCGTGGCTTCACCCATTTTCCAAACCTCTGATTCCGTGAGGACCAAGAATGAGCACCCCAGGCTACCCCACAAACAGCCTGGGCATTCTCAGTGTTTTCCAGAGAATCGTTAGGAGTTGCCCCATAAAGTTGGACGACACTGCCCGGGACAGTCGCGTAAGGGGCAAGGGTGGGAACCCTGGTTCTCGCTGCGCTGCCGGCCCCCGCCCCGCTCCGCCGCGTCGCGCCGGCTCCCCGAGTCCACGCACGCCGCCGGAGGCGGGCCGGGGCGGGCCGGGGCGGGCCCGGGCGTGGGGGGCCGAAGGAGGAAGCGCGCGGGGCGCCATAAGGAGGAAGCGGGCGTTCGGCGGTGTCCGCGCGCCCGGCAGACGCTGCCTCGGCCCCGACGCACCCGCGCCCCCGCGGCCGGAGGGTGGTGAGTGCCCCGCGCCCCTTCCCGCGCCCCCGGGGTACCCGCCGAGCCCCCGCCCGGGACCCCGCCTGCCCGCCCGCCCCAGCGTGGAGCTCAGGGCCCGCCGCCCGCCCTGGGCCCGACCGCGGTGGGAGCCGGAGGAGGGGAGGCGACGGTCACCGCGCCCGGCCTCGGCAGCGACCTGCGGGCCGCGCGTCCCTCCGCCCGGCGCCCTCCTCGGCGCGGCCCCACACCTCGGAGCCCGGCCGCCCTCGGGAGGCGGGGAAGGCTTTGTTGTGTCCTCTCCACGTGGCCTGGGGACTCCGCGGGGACGTGCGGGGCGCGGGGAGGGGCGGGCGAGGCCAGCCCCGCAGGAGAAACGCGCGGGCCGGGCCGGGAGCAGGCCCCGCTTCCCGGCGGATCGAGCCCCGGCCCGCACCGCGACCTCTCCAGCGCCGCGGACACCTGCCCGCCCCTCCCCAGCGGAGCTCAGGGCTGGCCAGGCGCCGGGGGCTGGCGACTGTGCTGCCGCTGCCGCTGGGAAACTGCCGAATGGCTGAGTGACCCCCGGGGGCCCTGGGGACCCCCGAAGCCCTCAGCCAGCAAGCGGCTGTGCTGGCACGGGCTCATTCATTCATTCATTCATTCGGCAACTACGAATGTGCCGCGGTGCTGGGGTCCCGATGGCGCGGCGGGCGGCAGGGGCCGGCTGGAGGAGCGCAGTGAGGACCCTCGGCTGGGCCGTCTGGGGCTGGGTGGGCTTCACCTGCAGGCGGGGTTGGAGCGAGAGGGGCAGATGGACCCGCGCCCCTTCCCGGAAGCTTATCCACACCTCCGGCCCCTCCTCACGGTGGGCGCTGCAGAGGACCCGGCTCCTCCACGTTCGGTCTCCACCCGTGCTGTGCTGAGCGGGCTCTGATGGCGAGAGCGCTCCTGGGCCTGAACGTGCGCCTGCAGTCCCCTGGGAATGATGGCTGAGACCGGGTTCCTTGAGCTGGGGGCTCAAGGCCGTGGGGAGCGCCGAGGGGTCCTCTGGCATCAGGAGCTGAGGTACACAGAGCTCCAGGGAGGCACTGCTGGGAGGAGGACCCTGGCCAGGCCGCCGCCTGCGGCCGGAGGGCACGTCCCTGTCCCTTCTGCCCCTCTTGCCCAGGGAGGGACGAGGAAATGTGTGGGCAGCAGTTCGTGGCTGGGGTTTAAAGGTGGGCATCTCCCAGGACGGGCACAGGGAGTGTCTCAGCTGGTGAGGTGTGAGTGGTGACTGAGACCAGGGGTGACCGAGTGCAGAGTTGCCGCTGCTGGCGAGGACTGTTAGTGCCATCTGAGAATGTTGGGCAGGACTGGCAGAGAGGGTGGCCATCAGGTGGTCTCAGGGATGGGCAGGAGCTTGCCAGAGAGAGAAGCAGGTCGTGGCCCCAGGGTGATGCGTACGGGGGATCCGGTGCCTGGGTGGGAAGGGGCGTCGCACGCCTGGCTCAGAGGCTTTGCCTAGGGGTGCTCACAGGCTCAGCTGACGTGAGGATGCTGATCAGAGGAGCTGAGGGTACCACGCATTTGCAGTGAGCAGTGCCCGGGGCCCTGGACTGAGAAGGATGGCTGAGGGTGACGAAGGCGGGTGGACATTTGATGCAGGAGCCTGCCTTCTAGGCAGAAGGGCCATGGGTCAGCGTCTCTCCAGTGCCAGGTGGAGGGCTGTGCTATCCAGCTTCCAGGCTGAGCACCCACCCAAGCGGGGACTGCACGCTGAGGCAGGGGACACAGAGTGCCAGCTCTCTGCCTGTCAGCCCGTGAGAGGCCTGTCCCTAGAGCTGTCCTCTGGAAGTACTTCCTGGAGTCGCACATCTGGTCACCACTTGCTGGCTGGGGCTATGGAGGGCAGCACAGGCCTGGAGTGTCCCTGGGCGCCTGCCCCTACGCACACCACAGGGCCTCCTGCCCACAGGGCCTAACTGGCAGCTCCATGGCTGCCATACCTGGCCCACCACCTTCAGCGGCCACACGTATCCTTGCCCCAAGCCAGTGAGGGAGACAGGTCTGAAGAAGACACTAATGGAGCCAAAGCACAGGTCAGAGAAAACCACGCGTGTGCCAGACACTCACGGAGCACTTGATGTGTGCTGACTGGCTCTTTTGGACATCACGGTGGTCAGACTGGGGAAGCATCCCCATTCTCCAGATAGTGAAACTGAGGCAAGGAGAGGTTAAGTAACTTGTCCGGGGTCGCAACCAAGGGAGTCAGACTCTAGGGTCTCGGCTCTGAGCGTCATGCACACTGCCCAGACGCCCCTCCACACTTCACACCTGTCAGGCCACCAGGAGTGTGGAGCCTTTCTGTGGCCTCGCTCCCCTGTGAGCCCCTGGGAGGAAGGCAGCCCAGGTTCCAGGCAGCGAGGGACACGTGCGGGAGAGGGGATGCTTCCGGGGCAGGAGCCCAGAACCCTCACAGTGGGTTTTTCCCCAAGAGCCACTCCTGGTAGGTTTCCACAGTCCCCCCATCCCTGCCAGCCCCGACACAGCCCCTTTTCCCTCCTCTTCCTCCTGTTCTGTTTCTGCCTGCATTGGTCCAAAATGGGGAAGTTTCATATAAAAGGCAAACGGACCACAAAGCAGCTATTTCTGGAGCTGCTGCTGCCTTGCACATTGGATTCTCGGGTGGCCTGTTAGGTGTTTGTTTTCGGGGTCCTTTGCTGTAGAAGAAGCCATCAACTAAGAAAAGGAGGAAGTGGCTTTGGGAGACTGAGACGGGAGGACTGCTTGAGCCCGGGAGATGGAGGCTGTAGTGAGCCGTGCTTGCACCGCCGCACGAGGCTTTAGTGAGCTGTGACCGCACCGCCGCACGAGGCCATAGTGAGCCGTGACCGCACCGCCGCACGAGGCCGTAGTGAGCTGTTCTTGCACCGCCGCACGAGGCCGTAGTGAGC